AAAGCTTAGGAGCACAACCACTTAAATACTAACATCATAGCTACTTGATATTAAGAAAAAAAACTTAGATACCGCAAAGAGCTTGCATCTTGAGTACAAATGTTCTGATGGCTGAAAGTAGAGGGTGAGAATGAAAATAAAAGGGAAATGGCAAGCATGAAGTTTGGTCTCACTTCTTAAGGCATTGCTTGATTCTGCTTTCACAATGATATAACTGACAACCAGTGAAGATCAATATGGCAATTTACAGTACTTCAACTTCTAATTTCTGCTTGAGACTTCTTTTGTTTTCAAAGTTCTTAACTTCTTAGCTGGTATACCAAAGCAGAACAGAACTTAAAATTCTGTGTTAGCTCTCGGCATCACGACAGTTACTAAGAAGCACTATACCAGCTACTGAACACCTATAAGGAACGAGTGACACACAGAGGCTCTAGTGCATTGCGTACACAACCGTATACAGTCAAAGTTGTGTTAGTTACGACTGAGAAAGAGCCTGAGTGTGGCGGAGCACACATTTAATCATAGCACAGGAGAGGCAGAAGCAGGCAGATCTCTGTGAGTTTGAGGCTAACCTGGTCTACACAATGAGTTCCAGAGCAGCTAGCTCTACATAATAGAGACACCTTCTCAAAAAATGAACCAACAAAACAAACCAAAAATCCCAAACTAACAAGAGAAGGTAGAAGGGTCTTCTCAGTGGTGGACTGATATTAATTAGCTCTTCCTTTTACGAATGTGCAGCCTTAAGCAAGCCACCTAGTAGTTTCCCAAGATGTCAGTTTTCTAGTCTGTAACGTGGAGATAAGGCCAGGCTGCTGAGGACTGCAAGCAACGATCCTTTGAAAGCACTGGAGTCAGGCTCAAATACTGTAAGTGACTTGCATCACATTGAGCAGTTCAGTGGAGTCCTTATCAAATGACATTTACTACCAAATGAAAGAGAACATAGGGACATGCAGCTCCTGGCATTTCTGGGCCAGGTCCTCTTCATCTTTACCACCTATCACAAGCTCTAGTGCTTTCTAGAAAGACAGAATCTGATCTTACCACAGCTGTTTTAGGTCCCCTAATTAGCAGTTTGAAAGAGTCACCAATGAAAGCAAAACGGAAATTGGAAAGTTCAGAGAGTAAGAAAGTGTGTTTGCTATTCAAATGTCAGCAAGCTTTTTCAAGTATCCCTTATACAAAGAGCATTGTTTGTGAACAATAATACAATAGAAATCCAAATCCTTACTTCTTCCTGTCAGGAAAGAAATGATGACCTTGTTTCTAAATATTCCTCCTTCCATACCCACTCCCAAGCTATAAAGAAAATGGCCCATACAACTCATATACATTTAATATATTATGATATACTACTGTGTCTTATACAAAATCAATACTTCAAGTACTTCAGTACCTGTCTATACACTAAATAATACATACGTTTTGAATAAGGAGATTGCAATTTACCAAGCAGTGTCGAGCGTTTACTACACATCAGGCACTCTACTAGGTATCATGGTTAAAAAAAAATTCATAGAATACACGAAAAAAATGAACAATTCAGCATTTATCAAAATGCCTATATTAAAAGCTGGCCATACCAATCAGAATATAGGCAGCTTAAAAATAAAACTTTTGGGAGACTAGAGAGATGGCTCAGCAGTTAAAAGCACTGATTCTCTTCCAGGGGACCTGGGCTGAATTCCCGGCATCCACATGGAAGGTCCAGTTCAGATGATCTATGCTATCTTCTGGCTTCTGGGCACCAGCCACAAATATGTGTATATATATATTAAAATAAATTTTTTTTCTCCTGAAGGAAAAAAAATGTTGCCCAGTTCTGACCATTTCATCCCTTCAAAGATGCATTTAAAAGAAAAATGCCAGGTGGTGGTGGAGCACACCTTTAATCCCAGCACTCAGGAGGGCGAGGCAGGTGGATCTCTGTGAGTTCGAGACCACCCTGGCACACCTCGTCTACAGAGCAAGTTCCAGGACAGGCTCCAAAGTTACTGGGAAACCCTGTCTTGAAAAAACAAAAAACAAACAAACAAACAAACAAACAAGCCATGGAGGCTCTCCAAATGAGGGGCATTCCCAGGAGGTGCCAGGCTAACAAGGTCTTTGTCAGAAGATTCTTTTCCCAGAATATTCACTCCCTACATGATTCAATCAAAGGAGTCCTAATGCACACTAGAACAAAAGCAGAAGTTCATCTTCCCACCTTTTGTATACAGTGCAATGTAAAAACATTCTAAAATTGAAGAGGCTACACAAGGATTTTTATTTTGGGAAAAACCAAGTAGTCCCAATACAACGTTTAAATAAACCTGGAAACCAGTAAGTTAAGTATATTTATGTTTGTGAATTACAGGGTTGGTAACAGAGATTCCCTATTATCAACTTCAAAGGATTCAAGTTATTTGAGTAACAAGAAAATCAGATTTGCTGAACTAGGAATGCATTGACTCTCTCTCTCTCTCTCTCTCTCTCTTTCTCTCTCTCTCTCTCTCTCTCAAATTCCACTAAGTCTGCGAGGCTTTTCTTCTTCCTCTAGCAGGATCTCTCTTTCTCCAGAGTGCCTGGCCTGTCCTGCATGCGGGTCTTGTGGGCCTCTCCCTGACTGTGCTCTCTATAGGGACACATCTTGCAGCTTATCATGAGTACATCGGTAGAGAAAGAATTGGCCAATACGTTGAACTCTCCAGCTCAGTAGCCAGAATTGTCAACAATAATATGACAAAAAAAAAAAAAATGACAGCAGTAGAGACCTAAAGATAATTATCTTTCTGGAGACTTAACCTGTATAATGCTCATTCTACAAAATGCATTGCTTACTACAATTCAGGCCTTTATATAGTTACTTTCCGTGTGTGTCTGTGTGTGCAGTGGTATATTATTCTACAGAAACAATCATCAGAGCAAACTCCTTAAAATGAGAGAAAAATTTAAATTCACAAGTTTATAAATTATAACATGAAGGTAATTCATAAAATATAATCAATAATACCCAAACATTTCTAGATGTTTAATAGCTAACTGAAGTATAATGATAAACCTGCTTTGAAATCTTTAGTCTTTAGGTTGGATTTTTTTTTTTTTCCAAGACAGGGTTTCTTTGTAGCTTTGGAGCCTGTCCTGAAACTAGCTCTTGTAGACCAGGCTGGCCTTGAACTCACAGAGACCAGCCTGCCTCTGCCTCAGGAGTGCTGGGATTAAAGGCATGCACCACTGTCATCCCGCTAGGTTGGATAATTTTTATAAAGAGTTTAAGTTATAAGAAAGAAATGGGAAAACTGGCCCAACATCCAATGGGACCTCCTGTCTCCTATGCAGTAAAAGGCAGGGGCTGACACACTCTTAAAAACAGTTCCCATGTCACCTCTGTACTGACAACGCTCTCACTAAACTGACTGCCAGTCTTACCACCTTTTTTTTTTGTTTTGTTTTGTTTTGGGACAGGGTTTCTCTGTAGCTTTGGAGCCTGTCCTGGAACTAGCTCTTGTAGACCAGGCTGGCCTCAAACTCACAGAGATCCGTCTGCCTCTGCCTCCCGAGTGCTGGAATTAAAGGCGAGCGTCACCACCACCAGGCAAGTCTCACCATCTTAAAGGCCCAGCAGTTACAAGCACTACTACCTCAGGTATGCATGGCTCTGGGGAAGTCATGTGACCCCTCTGTGTTTCTTCATTTATAAAAGGAGTGCGACAAAAGCAGGCACTTTGGAAGGGCATTAGAAACCAGCAGTGCCAAAGCAAATCATACCCATCGTCACCACATCTGGCCCACGGGAAGCCCCAATTTTATTCTGTCCACGTTGTTTTGAGGTGTTGCTGAAGTGCTTTACTGACTGTCAGTCCATGCTCTCGCACTTGGAGAGGTGGCTCCACAGAGTACAGAGTTAAATAAAAACTTCTATCACCTAGGGTCTCTACAGACTGCCCTGCTTATATTCAGCTCCTTCCTGCAAGAATGCTAGATCCCACTCCAAGACCACACCTCAGTAGCTTCCAATGTATTCCCACCTCCAGCTTTCTGGTCCTGTCTTTGTTCATTCAGGTCAAGCCACGTGAAATATACACACCCCCACGCCCCAGCTAAAACTCTACCAGCCAATTAAGTCTGTCCTGAAGTTTCATTTCTTAGGAAAATCTGTCCTGATCTTTCCCACTGCACACATGGGAAATCATCCCCACCCCCAATCACAGACCTTCACAGCCAGGGTTGACAGCACGTGCTCTGAAATCAATACTGCAGTGTCCCAAGGATGGAAAGTGTGCTCCAATGCAAGGGAGGCATTTGGACCCTGGAACTCCCTCCTCAAATTGTAATATGGAAACTGGTCTCCAAGCCCAGCTGAGCTGAACTTTTAAACAGTCCAGGAGCGTTAGCACAACATGGACAGAATATCTCAAATGTTTCTTCCCTCTTTCATCGGCAAAGTTCAGGTATTGAGCCAGTAGAAAACAAGGCAATCTCACTTTCCATTTTTCCTTTGCACCTTGATCCAGCAACTTATCTGGGTTTGTATTGCTTCTGAAAAAACAAGTTGTTAAACAAAACATCCATTCCCTTTTCTCTCTCAAAGTAGTAAATCTCTCCTTAAGGAGAAGTAAAAGGACTGAAGTTTTGCAATTTTAGGTTATTTTTCAGTAGTGTGTACTTGAAGAACTATGCATGACTGTGGGTCCCTGGTTTTTTCCCTTCTGGTAAGTGCACATGCTCATGAGCACACCACACACACACACACACACACACACACACACACACACACACACAAATTCTTATACAAAAGGTCAGGCCATAGGCCAGATACGGTAGTGCATGCCTTTAATCCCAGCACTCAGAAGGCAGAGGCAGGCGGATTTCTGTGAATTCCCAAGACAGCCAGGGCTATATAATGGGACCCTGGAGAGGGGAGAGGAAAGAAGAGAAAGAAAAGAAGGGGGTGTTGGGAGAAAAAGAGAAGGGAAGGGAATGGAGAAAGAAAATAAAACATAAGAGAACACATGTAATCCAAATGCCTTTCAGATGTGCTATTTTCCCCAATCTTTCTTGCCAGAAATACAGAATTTTTACACCCCTAAGGCCATTCAATTTTAAGGGTTATCATCAATAGCTGAGAGCAAAGATTCAGATCCTCCTATCTTATAATTCAGATTCTCTTTTGATGAAGAAAGGAGCCTGGGGACTCTGCTTCTCTCAGTGTGCACTCCTGCACACCCTAACCGCACTACCTGAAGGTCGTTGGGAGTAGAAAATGGAAACTGAAAACCAGAGGGAAAATCCGCTTTCAGTGCTCTCCAAGACTTCTTGCCTCTCTCCAGAAAACAAGCCTTCCTCACACACAGGAGCGTTTTCCCGGCGGCTTCTGAGACACTGGCAGCAGAGCAGCAAGCATGAGCCTGCTAGAATCTGACCTGGCCAAACAGGTATGCTGGATCTCATTAAAATTCGTTCTTGTGATTCCGACACATCCTAAGGGAAGTGAAAGATAAAGCACACACAGTGTGGATCTTACCCTGGGGTTTTAGTGCTGTTGGTTTTATTGCACGTTTTATCTTTATGGTTTGGAGACAGGGTTTCTCTGTGTAGTCCTGGCTGTCCTGGAACTTACTCGGTAGACCAGGCTAGCATCGAGCTCATAGATTTCCTGCCTCTGCCTCTCAAGTGCTGGGATTAAAGGTGTGTGCCACCATCGCCCAGCAGTATTTTTTATTTTGTTTTTCTTTTTATCAATAGTTTATCTGCTGAACAACTTGTATCTAAAATAGGTAACAATTATAGGTGCAAGTACACCTGCATTCCACACATACGCATAAATACACACACAGCACAAGTTTTAAAAAATTAAAAAGAAGATATAGAGTCTGTACCCATGAGGATAGCTATACTAAAAAAAGATAACCATTCACAAAAGAAGTCCATGTATGGTTAGGAATACAAAAATCTTTTTTTTTTTTTTTTTTTTTGGTTTTTCGAGACAAGTTCTTTCTGTAGCTTTGGTGCCTGTCCTGAAACTAGCCCTTGTAGACCAGGCTGGCCTCAACTCACAGAGATCCACCTGCCTCTGCCTTCCAAGTGTGCCACCACCGCCTGGCTCCAAGACAAAAATCTTACAGCCCCTTTGGGAAATAATACAAAAATTACTCAAGGCTGGGTGGTGGTGGTGTACACCTTTAATCCCAGCACTCGGGAGGCAGAGGCAGGTGGATTTCTGTGAGTTTGAGGCCAGCCTGGTCTACAGAGAGAGTTCCAGGACAGGATCCAAAGCTACACAGAGAAATCCTGTCTCTGCTTCCAGGTATATAACAAAAGAATTAAAAGCATAGACTCAAACAGGCATTTAAAACCCAAAGTTTACAAGTACTATTAGTAACAGCCAAAATATGGGAACAGTCAAGCTACCTAGAATGGTTAATAAACAGATAAACAAATTGTAATCTCTCCATTCAGTTCACAACACATACTGAACCTCCACTGGTGAGAGGGCTCAAGGGAGAAGCACTTGCTGCAAAACCCGACAGCCTGAGTTAGTTCCCCAGAGTCTCCCGTGGAGAAAGCGGTACCCACTCCTGCAGGTTGTCCTGTCATCTCCACGTGTCATTATAGGTACTCACGTACAACACACACACACACACACACACACACACACGTATTTTTCTTTCTTTTTTTCTTTTTTTGGCTTTTTCAAGACAGGGTTTCTCTGTAGCTTTGGAGCCTGTCCTGGAACTAGCTCTTGTAGACCAGGCTGGCCTTGAACTCACAGAGATCCACCTGCCTCTGCCTCCCGAGTGCTGGGATTAAAGGCGTGCGCCACCACCGCCTGGCTCACAAGTATTTTTCTAAGTTTAAATTAGAAAGAAAAATAAAACATTGACCCAGGTGAAAAACCCCAGACACTAAAAGTTACTACTTGCTTCAGATATGAGCTGTCAGAGGCTTAGTTGATAACTTCTCAGAGTTCACGGAGTCCACTGACCGGGTCACAGCTCAATGGGAAGGGTGGGAACTCTAGTTGGTGGGAGTGGGCTTTGAGGTGGGCAGTGTCTGGGAGCATTTCCCGTTTCTGCCGCATGTCCTGGATCCTATGTTGTGAGTGACTTTGCTAGGCAAGGCCCTCCAGCCCCCATTTTCTGCACCAGCACAGCCATGGTGGACCCATGCAGCCATGAAACCAAAATCTCCTCCAAATCATGAGCCGAAATCAATCTTTCATCCATTTAAATTGTTTTCTGAATATTTGTCACAGCAACAGAATGCTAACATAATCATCATTATTATAAGATCCATTTATTTATGGATTTATTTATATGTAAGTATTTATATGTAAGTATTTCTGAACAAACAAATCCATGGAGATAGTGGCCAAGCTAGTGGCTTTCGGGGGCTGGAGGAGGGGAAAATGAGGCACAGTTTAATAGGGACGGGGTCTCCTCGGAGCGGCTGGAAGTGCTGAGCAACTAGAGACAGTTGGTGGCTGCACAAGTGTGCAGTTATAAGAAAAGCAAAACAAAACATTGATCTGTGCATTTTAAATGAACAAGTCAATAGTATTTGAACTGCATCCCACAAGGCTATGTTTTTAAGCCAACATTTAAATTTGGAAAATTTCACAAAAAAAATTATGATTGACTTCTGCTGAAAAGTTCTACAGAATCGTCACAACAGCTAAAGGACAAAGGGAGACTGTGCTCCCGGAGTTCATCTCCGCCACTGCGTGACTCCGGTTCTCAACCTTCCTAACGCTGGGACCCTTCATGTTGTGGGGACCCCAACTATAACATTATTTTTGTTGCTATGTCATAATTGCAATTTTGCTATTGTTAGGAATCATAAAGTAATATTTGTGTTTTCCCATGACCTTAAGCAATCCCTGTGAAAGGGTCATTTGACCCGCCCCCCAAAGGGGTCTTGAACCACAGGTTGAGACCCACTGGTGCACAGCAGTCGACTGCTGTCTGCAGCCAATTTGTTAACAGGCTTACAAAGGAAGGCTTAGAGGTTAAGAGCCTTCTGCTCTTCCATAGGAGGAGCTACATGATGCTTTACAGCCTTCAGCAACTCAATTCCAAGGGATCTTACGCCCTCTCCTGGCCCTCCTAGGTACTCCCTGCATGTGGTACACAGACATACATGCAGGTAAAACATCCATACATATAACAGTAAAACAATTTAAAGAAGAAAAAAAGAGGCTTAGAAAACTGCTGACACATAGTGCTTAGTAAATGTTAGCAATTTTTTTCTGTTTCATTATTTTTATGATTGTTTTTATGATACCTCATACTCTCATTTTTTGTCCAGCTCACATGTTGTCAAAGACAGTCCTGCATTTCTGATCTTGCTGCTTCCCCCTTACACATGCTGAAGTGCAGGCATGGACCATCATTACCCAGCTCCTTGACCGTTTTCTGACAGAGGCCTTGGGAATTTACTTTTCATTTACTTTCCAACTATCTTTTTGCTGTTGTTTTTACAAATAGAAGTACAGCATGTGATACTGAAGTCCATCAGAAAGAAGAGGGAAGGCAGCCAAGATAAACATTTGCTGTTGTTGTTGTTGTTTTCTTTTTCGAGGCACAGTTTCTCTGAATAACAGCTCTGGCTGTCCTGAAACTCAGTTTGAAGACCAGGCTGGTCTTGAACTCACAGAGATCCACCTGCCTCTGCCTTCCTCTGAGTGCTGGGGTTAAAGGTGTGCACCACCACTGCCCGGCTCCAAGACAAAAATTTTAAAGTAATGTGCAAAATGTCATATGTGCACACCAGTGAGAAGTTACTGTGCACCGGGGGCGGGGGGCGGGCAGCGTCAATGTCCGCAGGTGTGTGGATGGTGGGGAAGCCAAGCCTTAGCTCTGTTCTTGGGAAAGTTTTATATGTAGACAACAGTCCAGGCATCTAGACTTACAGAAAACGGGGGGGGGGGGTAACGAACTTTAACTCCTCACACTTAAAGGGACTTCATATACTATTTGTATTTTAAACAATATAATTGTATAATCAGACCCTTCCAAATACTTTATAAAAAGAGAAAGGAAACGTGAGGCTGTGGGGGATGGTCACAGAGCTCTACCCTGTGAAAAGCAACAACATGGTTTCATAAACTCACAAGACCCTCTTCTGCCGTGAAACACAGCTTTTAATCTGTACTGTTGCTAAAGACCACTTTTCTCCAGTTTCTTTATCCCTTGTGCTGCAATGCTTCCCAGCTGCTGGACTGGCTAAATGCCCTGGCCTGGCCATCGGTGTCCTTCACCCATCAGCTCTTCTCACCTCCTCACCCCACTCCCTTTGACAAACTCTATTCTAGCTGAGCCAGCTATAGCCGGGATATAAACTACTCAGCCAAGAAGGATTTTGTACATGACATTGTCTTTGAATTTCTTTACACATTTTAGTTCTTCCTCCTCCTCCTCCTCCTCCTCCTCCTCCTCCTCCTCCTCCTTCTTCTCTCTCTCTCTCTCTCTCTCTCTCTCTCTCTCTCTCTCTCTCTCTCTGAGTGTATGTGTGTGTGTTGTGTGCAGGTCTGTGCGCCTCGAGGGCCACGGTCGATGTTAGCTCCTTGAGCTCTTTCTAACAGAGATCTTGGAAATTTACTTTTCATTTACTTCTTACTCTGCCAGTGTCCAGTCTGTTTTCATTTTGAGACAGAGTTTCTCACTGATCCTGGACTCACCATCTCAGCTAAGACTTCCCAGCCAGCAAAGTCTAGAATCTGCCCATTTCCGTACCCCAGCACTAGATTGCTTCACCCAGCTTCCTGCAGGTTTGCTGGGGATCCTGAGGTCCTTGCTTTATCAATTGACCCAACTCCCCAGACCTACTATCACCATTTATTTATTTATTGGGATTTACTAGGATTGTGGTAAGATTCATATAAAATAACCTTCACCATTTTACCCATTTTAAAATGTAGGGGCTGGAGAGATGACTCAGCAGTTAAGAGTACTGACTGCTCTTCCAGAGGACTCAGGTTCATTTCCCGTCACCCACGAGGCAGCTCGCAACTATCTATAACTCCAAGATCTAACACTCTGACACAGACATAGACACAGGCAAAACACCAATGAAATAAAAATAATTTTTAACATGTATAATTTAGAGACATTTTATTACCTTCATAGTGTGGTGATGTTCCACAGTATTTTACCACCCACAAGGAAACCCCAAGCCCATAAAGACATTTTCCAAGCTTCCTCTGTCCCCTAAGAAATCCTACCTCTGCTGTGTGGTAGTGGCACACACTTTTAATCCCAGCATTTGGGAGGCAGAGGTAAGTGGATCTATGAGTTTGAGGCCAGCCTGGTCTACAGAGTGAGTTCCAAGATAGCCAGGGCTACACAAAGAAACCATGTCCAAAAGAAAAAAAAAACACACCAAACCAAAAACAAACAAACAAACAAACAAAACACCACTACCACAACCAACAAAAAACAACAGAAAAAGAAACCCTACCTCTGCGATGCACCTGTTTAGGA